AGCGCGTTTTTTCCAAAAAAAAAAAAAAACATGTTTTAATAAAGAAACTCAACATCACGAGAGATCAGATCAGTAAGAGAGAACTGGAGGAATTATTTTAATTAAGAAAATGAGGAAAGGCCAGAAATGGAATTAACAGACTAATTAACAGAAATTGCAATGAAAATAGTCGATTCTTTCCTCCCCTCGTACAAAGAAGAACCGTCAAACTTTTCGAACGATCCAGCGTTCTTCAATTTATGCGTTTAACGTAGAGACGTTGCTAGTATGAATCAGTAGCTACATACATTTGTTAGCTGCATTTTTTACGATTCCAATAGTCAAACTTCAACAACGAGAGAGGGAAAATTTAAGCGTTTAGTCAATTTTTCCTGCGTTAGAAGCGTTAGAAGCGTTGTTCAACGAGATACCCAGTGAAATTAAAATTTCTAAGCAGGAAAGAGAAAGAAATGCCCAAAGTATACGTGCGCGTGGCGTTTAGGGAGAACAATCTCTCCAAATATCCTGAACAAAGGGACGGAATTCGTCCCGGTGTATTTGAAATCTAAACGAACGAATGTAAAAAAATATAATGGAAGAAGAAGCAAAAAGAAGTTGGTCAACGATGAAGCGGTTAAAGACAGCCGGATAGGAAAAACGGGCAGCAGTTGAAAGCTTGTTTTCCTGGAGCTTCTCGCAGCGTTTGGCACAGTTTTCACTCTTGACGTGCATGATCGCGCCTGTCGAAAGAGCCCCGCGCGCGCGACAAGCGAGGCAGAAAGAGAGGGTGAAAGACGACTCTGTGAGCGTGCTATTTCGCCCACGCACACTCTCTCTTTCTCTCTTTCTCTATGCATATATGTACATACACACATATACACATACGTATCCTCTTTCTCTCTCTCTTTATATATATATATTTATATATATATATATATATATATATAGAGAGAGAGAGAGAGAGAGAGAGAGAGAGAGAGAATATATGCGTATGTCTCGGTTGCAGCAGCAACCGCGCGACCGTGTGTTAAGGCTAGCTCTCTCGTACAGTGTCCTCCGCTTTTCAAACAGCCAGGCGCGCGCGCTCGATACTCGGCTCTTGTACACCCACATACGCCCACGACCACCCACACACGTTCACGCTTACGCACGCAACCAGGCCAGCAGCCAAAGAGCGCGTACGTAACGCGACGATTCGATGCGTGCGCCAGCGGAACCTTGCATCTGCAACGATGTAATTACGACGCACGATGCACGCGATGCGCGATGCACGATCGAATCCGAATAGCAGCGAAAAGCTGCTGCGTACAGAGCAAGCTGCGGGGTACATCGCCGGCGACCACTGTGTCCACGTTCGCAATCATCGACGTTCGCCGAGAGTGAGCTGCTGTTCGCTTTTTTCCCCCCCTCTGACGTAAACGTCGTGACAGACGTCGCGTCGCGCATCGCGCGTCGCGTGTCGGTATAGTATTATACACGTACTGCACTACTGTACGGCGGCGCCGATTGTCCAGCTGCGAGCCGATGCTCGGAAACAGCCCCCCGAGTGCTCTGAAGCACCGATCCTCCACTCTGCTGATCGCGCCGCCTCGATTGGTCACCCGGGTATTCAGTGTCCCGCTGCCATTTCAAATAAACTGCGAGATTTCTCGTTCGATCGCCGTGGCAATGGATGTCGATTACGTGACGGAGAAAAAAAAGAAAAGAAGAAAGGAGACACTGCGCGTGCATGTAAGAAGCGAGAAATTGTCTCTATTCTTTCTTTTCTTTTCCTTCTTTCCGTTTTTTTTTTTTTTCCTTTTTCTTTCTCTTCTGTATCGTATCGTTGCTTGCCCCCTGGCTTTACGTTACGCAAATTCCAAAATTCACGTTTCATTGTTGCCGGCCCATTTTCGTACTGTCGCCCATGTTTCGCGCGCTGCGCTGCTAGAAATCGACACGCACGCCCGCGTCTTCCCTCATTCCGTATTATATGGGAAGCGATCAACGACTTCCCCCAACGACCTTCTGTTTCTTCGCAACGCTGATGCCGAATAGAAAAGATGGCAGGTGATTCCTCGTGAAGTTCACGCTCGCTCTCTTCCGTGCCAATAGGAAACACTCACCTCGTGTTTTACGGTGTTTACATGGATCGTAAAAGACACGTTGATCGCGTACTCGGCCCGCGCCAGGTGGTTTACGAGGGAAAACGCGATGAAACGTTCGTGGGAGGAACAACGAATCGACAAACTGCTTAATACGATACGCATTAACACCGACGCTCGATCGTTGCTCCTTTGTATCCCTGTGACGAGAAACTTGTCAGTGACAACGATTCGTTTGTCGTTCGCATCCGTGTGTCTTTCTGGCAAGAGACAGAGATTAGAAAGAACATAGAAGCAAGATAGAGAGTGTCGCATCTCGTACGATATAAAATAACATGGCTACATTGCGGGAATTGCAAAGTGCTAAACGCAGAACGATGTGTTGTCTTGTCCAGGCTGGATACGAGGTTCGTGAAGGCGTGGAATAACTGAATACCGGCAACGTAAGAGAAAATGTATGTTTCATACAGACAACGTATACCCCCGATATTTACGAGAATACGTGCAGGAGCGAACGCAAGCAAGTCGAACGTAGTTGGCTTTTAACAGAGAAAGCAACGATCGTTTCACAGTTTGTTCGCATTTTCGATTTTACGTTCGACAAATAGTTTTTTAACAAATAGACGTAACAAGTGCAACAACCAACGAATTTATCAGGCTCCGCGTGATGTATATGTGTGTCCACGTAGTTCTTTGTCAATGTTGATCAAATTCTAATGATCAAGCATTACCATGAAATTGGGTACGCTCAGCATTCGGTTGGTCAACTCATGTTTCACACGCAATATACGCGCGTGTCTAATGTGTGTATGTAAATCTACGTATGCACAATGTATATCCATGCATTGTACATGATTCGCGCAGGATGTATTTGAAATCTTGTTACGAAATTTACAGACAGATCGGTGGAATCAATTATATTATTCCTCGTAAACGTACATCCTTCGTCGCTTTCGTCGCGAGACGAAATCCCGCGAGTGCATACCTATCTCTCGTTGAAAAAAAAACATCTCGCCGTCAGAACCGAAAAAATTTGCAGGACGTTTGTCCGTCAGAAGCAATCAACGTGAATGTCAATTCGCCTGGGAGGGGAAAAATTTTCCGCTTTGCGAGGGACAAATTTTCCAATACCAACGCAGAAGTAATTATTTTTTTTTTTCTTTTTTTATTTTTGTAGGGAAAAATTAATGCACCGTATATATTCAAA